TGCGCGACAACACGCCGCACTAAATCAAAAAAGATTTAATGAGGCAGTTATTTCTTGTGCTGACTGAAATTATTTCTTTTACAATCAGCAAGATGTAAACTATCTTATGGCTTGTATCTTATGGCGAGTATCCTCGATCTTATCAACTATCTTATGAGATAAGAATTATCTTTTTGTAAGTATTTCACTTACAATCAGCATGACGTGATCTATCTAAGAGGCCCGCCACATCAACTTCGAAGTAGTCGATGGCTTCGTCTTTTTTTGAACAAGAGTCTCCAAGTGACTACTTTCTTCAACAATATCGAAGGAAGGAACATAAAGCTAGGCTACAAAAGTCCAAACATTTGATGGCTGACCTGAAAAAAATAGTTGAGGAGGAAAAGGAGGATGGAGAGAAACTCAAAGAGGAGTGCTTGTCAACATCTTCTGGTAGATACGGAGATGATAAATGGGAGAAATAAAGTATTTAACTTCCAAATGTCCAAGTTATATAATAAAGTAATCAACGAAAAGCTCGATGAAGTATTCGATAAGCTGAATGATGCTAACGAATCAAAATCTGGATTTAATCTTCGTAAGGTCAGAACAGGAGAATGTCGTTATTACTCCGTACACGAAAACAAAACTCGTCTCGAAAACTTGCATTCACTGTCTACAAAAGCCGATTTGAAAACAAGGAAAAAGTGAAATATTTCGATAGCTGCGAGCAATGCACTCAAGAACGTCACAACAAAAAGTGGAGCTTCAAATTGATAACCAACGTCACTCTTTCCGCTGCACTACTGAAATTTATCCCAATGGGACGTCCAGACACAAGCCTTTACTGAAAATAGACTCACTAATCTGGCTTCCATCGGAAAAAGAGAAACATTCATACAAATATAATCTCGGTCTTTTCCGTGGGCTAACGTTGTATTTGCATTTTCTTAACAACCTAAATTCTCATACATCTCAACTGTTTACAGTGTTCATATCAAAATCTCGATACATCTCAAAGAACTTTTGCGGAAAGGCATTGACAATTTTCCTCTTGTCGGGAAAATGATTAAACACAACATATTCATATAAACTTTGACATTCAGGCAGGATATTATGTTGGAGAAGTGGCCAGAAGAAGTATTGGAAAATTTGATAAAACCGTGAAATTACTATGTTGTAATAATCATATCCTTCACAAAAAAGATATTAATTCATTTTTCAAGTGCTTTAGATTTCACAGCTGTTACTGTTTCTTTACAAGATAAGACGTGTTTAACAAACATCTTATCAGATGTAAGAACTGAGTTCGACATAGTTATTCCAAAAACGCGTACTCGTAACGGGAAACAGCATTCGAGAAACTGGATGAAAATATAATTGCTTACACTGAAGATCGAAAATTAGTTTATATGTAGCAATTTTTGATTTCGAATCAATTTGTGTTCCCACAGAAGAATTGAAAGCAACTGGAATAACTGCTTGAATGAGAAAACATGTTATTATTTTCAAAATTTTCAAATGGCTGAAATAAAACCAATTACAATTGAGAATCAATTTTCAAGAAATCAAAAACACTGTCAAGGAGTGAGTCGAAAAGATCTTTGATAAACTCAAAGCTAGAACTTTAACTAAAAAACTCAATTTTGTGTTTGTGAAGATGAATGCATTGAGAATGGACAGTAGGATGACATGTCTACACAATTCATTAGAATTAAAAAAAACAGTTGATTGATTTAAAACAGCATTCAGTGCGCTATGTAATTTCTTTGCCATGTTTCGGATTGAATAGTGAGAGATACGATATGAACCTTATCAGTTCTTATTTGATTCCATACCTTATTCAATACAGAAATCGAGTCAATAGTTATTACAAAGGAGAATGATTTCTGGGAGGAGCAACATTTTTGATTTAATTCTGAAAGCCTATGAAGCAAGTGAAACAAAATAAGTTTTCCCCTACGAATGGTTCCACAGTCTCCACAAGCTTGACTGTACGGAATTGCCTCGATACGGAGCTTTTTTCAGTATGCTGAGAAACAAAAATTTTCTAGAAAAAGGTTTTCGATGATAAACAAAATATTGGTTAACGGAGGACTCGATCAAAACAGTGTGTTGAAAAAGCTACGTATTCAGTCAGTTCCGCCGACAGGATTCGAAAATTACTCTGATTTAAAAAGCATCTGGGAGTAACACTACATAACTACTTTTAAATACTTCTTACGATAGGATAATAACATAGATGTCGCTCCTTCTCTTGGCGCCTTGCAAAAAATGATAATATTCTACCATAACAAAGGCATTGATATGTTAAAACTTGGATTCACGCTTCCCAATTTAACAAGTATCACTTACACAACTCGACGAATCATAAGTTTTACCCGTTCTTTGAAGGTGATAGGGATTTGTTGGAGAAAATAAGTTAGGACATGAGAAGAAAAACAGTTGTCGACCAAACTTATATTCGCAAATCGTGAAATGTTTGCAAAACAACAGTTGGTATTGATGCTAGCCAATTATATTCGTACTTAAAATGTCAGGAGATGCTAACCGGATTTAGCACATGATGTGAAATTGACCCTGAAACTCAATGATTCGGGGTTAGAATTATCAAAACAAGAAATTTCGAGAACATGACTTTGTCCTTCTATCAAAAATCGAGACAAGATTGTAACATTGAAAGTTCTTATACGGCCTGAAAACAGAAAAAAAATAACTGTTTCTATGTTGATGGCAACTGCGATCACCGTAAAACAGCATTTGAGTCTTTGGAGTTGCTGCTATCACTTCTCCAACTGCCATCAAACTCGTCCCTTTTTGTCGGATCAAGACATTGAAAGTAAAAAGAAAAAAGGTGAAATGGTTGAGTTAAGACAAGAGATTAAAAATGGATACAATTTTCAGGAATTGAGAATATGAGAAGTGGTAGCAATTTAAAACATATTCTGCAGTCAAGAATCATGTCAAGACAAAATGATTTTCGCAAATCTACTGATTTTTTATCTGAAAAATAAAGAAGGGACCCTTTTTTGATTTTGTGATTTGATAGATCCCGAAGGGTTAAAATCCAAATTTGATAATTCCCGACGGGTTTCCAAACTTTTCTCTAAGTTTTGAAAAACATTGACGTCTGCCCAAACGAAATTCGAGAAACGAAAAACTGTAAAACTACGCCGGGGAAAATGATTTATTGAACAATCCGCAAGAAATCACGATTTTTAGCTTCAAATTAGAAAATGGTACAATCGTCACTCCCCTCCTTAATTTTTATCTTGGACTTGGACCTCAATGCATAAACATTTATCATTTTGTTGAGTACACACCTAGGAAATGCTTCAACAACTTTTTTCAGTCTTTTGTTGATGCTTGACGAGAAGGAGACTAGAAGCATGTTCCTGGAGTGGTGGCTGAGATGATGAAGGTTCTGGATAACAACTCGTACGGTTATCAAATCATGGACAGATCCAGACTCACAATAACTAAAAATCTCGGCGATGAAACACACAAAGCAAAAAGTCAGATTTGTTTCAAGCGATTGAAAGTTATGAAAATAGACTTATACAAAGTAGAACTACGGAAGTCATCAATTGGACGACGAGGAGCATTTTTGTAGGTTTTTTCATTCTTCAACATGCCAATTTTCGAATTTTGAGTTATAGTGCAAATTCTTCCACAAGTAATGTGTTGAGAATAAACTCGAGGAACTGGAGATGAACACGGACCCATTGTATCTAGCATTAGTAGAAGATGACGTGGATGATTGTACCTTTCCTGCAAAAAAAACGCTCAGTGGACACAAATTTGTCGCTGATGCAAAGACGAATTTTTTCCCATGTATTTTCTCACGTTTTTCATGACTTTTTCAGTTTTGCTGTTTGATAGTGGAATAAGCCTTCCTTCTAACAAAGGAAAAAAACTGAACATTCAAAAAAATCAAAAGTCAAACCGCGAAAAATTAGGTTTGAGGCTGAACAAAAATTAAGATATTTCCTAGAAAAAAATCATTGCGACCTATATAAGAGTCTGAGTAATGTTCATTGACTCTTAGTAGGCTAGTACATTCATTCAATTAGTGAAGTTGACAAAAAGTAAATGTTCGTTATAATTTTGAAAAATTGGTCAAATCAGATATTTGAACATCGGAAAATAGTTATCCTAATTTTTTTGTTAAATTGTTTTGTAGGGGAAAAATTAATTACCTGAAAAATAGCCCTAATTTTTCAAAAAGATTAATTTTTGGCACTACATGGTTTGCCGAGAATGGTACGGTTGATCCAGAAAATGTTGAATACAAAGTTTATACACGCAGAAAAAAGTTATCATATTACATTTTAGTATTACTTTATAAACTGCACTAAGGCACCTTACGGCCAGCATAAATTTCCTCCTCTTCTACTGTACCTTAGCTACACCTATAAAAACGCACCTTCAGTCTAAAAACTTACCAAAACACATTATAACACATTAAAAATCATCCTGATAAGAAAACACTTCTTGCTATCCATTTTTTTAAAATGTAGATATTTTACCTATTTTTATGTTAACTTAAAAAAAAATCACCCTAAAAGTTGCACTAAATAACCAAATTAAAAAGATAAAGGTACAATAACTTATTCTTCAGATTTCGATAGTATTTTGCATCCATTTTTGAACTATGGTTTTTTGTACTTTCACAAGAAATGGGGAGGGTTATTCGTTCTTTAGGGCAAATCGCGTGCACTCATCTAAAAGATTTAGTATATTTGAACACTAAAAATTCCGTTTCGTTATACAAATGTAGATTTTTTATGAAAAATCAAAATTTTTGAAAGCTGTTATTGTTCAGAAAAATATCTATTATAGTTTCGACTGCTAAAAATTTGAAACAAAAACGTGCATTTGTTGGATGTATGCTTGGAAAAACCTATATGATCTTAATTAACGAATTATTGGACCTTTGTAGAACACTTGAAGCCCGGGAAAAGCTTGATGGTTATTTTGGTTGGTGAGTTTTTCGAGGAGCATGTTTAAACATTACTCACGTGGCCTGCACCGGCTGTGCACAGTCTGCAAAAGCGACTCCATCAGGGTGGCACTTCATTTGCCAGCACTTCTGCTTACCTGCACTCAAAAACAAAAGGTTATTTTACTTTAACACGGTACAAGGTAGAATCACCGCAAACTTTTACCGTAATGGAACCAGTTCTAAAGTAGAATTTATAATTGGTTATAAAAATAATTCTCTAATTCCTAAAACATTCTTAACTAACCAATCAAATTTCATAACTAACATTTACACTTATTTGTAAGTGCTGAAACTACTTGTAGCTTCAGCACCAGAGCAATTTGAATTAAACTTAGAATACAGTTGTTCTCCTTCTGGAAACTAACTCGCATTAACCAGTGTACACTAGATCTATTGAGACTAGGAGATATAAGAGTAAGATTAAGATTGGTATTAAAATAAAAAGTTGCTTGAATCTATCCGGCCGAAAATAAGATAGCGTGACGAGCAGACGGTGTACCTTATCTGAAATAACTCTATGAGTACAGTCAACCAAACATAACTCATCTGGTGCGACCAAAAGTTTCGAACAAGACCTTAACAAACTTAGACTTAGAAAAAGTAGATTTTAGAATTAGACAATTGCAAAATTGCAAAAATGTTACATGAAATAGACAATTTATTAGAAATGACTCTCCGACTCAATAGATCTCCGCCAATTTTCCAAACAATACGAGAAATACCAGGTATTGCGAGAAGACCAAGGACAAGGCACGATCTACGATTAGGAAGAAATCTACCGATTGACTTCATGATAGTACGACGGAGACCGGAACAAACCAAAGTATTTAGAATCCTTTCCGCAGTAAAGTTACATTATTCTTCAATGACATAAGTTTTGAAAAAATGCTTCAGTAACCTTAGTGGTGCTAAACCTATTATTTATACAATAGCGGCTGATAAAAATAACACAAATCGTTCCCTCCATAAATCTGCAGTAAGTTGAAACTTTTTGAACAAAATAATTTATTGATTAAAAATACAAAAATTAGTTAAAACAAAAAATCATCGTTAGTTTTAACAACCCTTCATATCATTTCTTCATCCCAGCTTCATCACCAAAATAATAACAGCAGATTACACAAAACTAACATCAGCCTAAACTTTATTCTAAAAAATTTTCACACTTACAACTTTACATTAAATTTTATCAATGCTTATCCTTGTTTTCTCTTAAAATTATCTCACTTAAATAACTGATCATCAAGGCTTTCCTTGGATCAAACGGATCAAATGGAACGACCTCAAACGTCGATTCACTACCCAACCCTTATCAAAGACCCGGGACTAATAGAAATTTTTGAAAAAACTAACCATTTTAATTAAGTTAAACAGTGAAGAACTTCGGTTACTCATCCTTCACTTGGTTCCCTTCCTCTTAGGATGACCCAGTCTAAAACACTTAAACTTAATAGGTCATAAAATAGTATTTAACGATCTACTTGCGTTCCAATTATACCTGAACCTTGTGGATTGATTTACTATTCTCCAACCCTTGATCACAAATCACAACCCCTAAGTAAGATTAGGTAGGTCTATCTTAAATTAGAACTTAGTCGCGAGAAGGTTAAAAAAAACATTCTCACGAATCGACATACTACTCTCTCTCCAACCCGTCAAACCAAGACAACCTATGCCCCAAGATAAGATAACCACACAAAAACGCGTAAGAACTAACAGTTTAGGAAATTCAAAACCTCTAACCCAAAAATTGCAGCCATCATCTTGAACCTTATATCAAGAGATAATCTAGGTAACAAACAAACAATCGTATTACATAATTGTTTAATTAAAACGAAAGATACGACCTTGTAATAACACCACACAGACAAACAATAGGATATAGAAGATCAAAGCGACAGACACGAAAAAAGACAATCATAACAAAACAAAACAATTTATCAGAAAATGGTTTTCAAAACAAAAAAACGCAGTCTCAGATCAGACACAGACACAATACAGGAATTTCAAGAATTAAAAGAATCCATAAGTAAAAATAACCCGATCGACGACCAAAAATATTTTTCCGACTCAGAAGCCACTACACCATCATCAATAAAAGGAAAACGCAAAATAAAAAGTCATACATCAACAAACCAATACTCCTATATAATTGGAATCAACCAGTAAGACATATTGAATGATACACACTAACAGTTTTACAATATAAAACATGATCGAGTACGACAAAAAATTTGACGATAACTCAATACTCTCATTTTTTATAAAACCACTAAATGATCCCTCCCGAGGACAAGTACAATTTTGCCATAACTTAATTGTAAACTTATTTGAAAAATGAATTAGCCCATGTAAACAAGAATTCCCTGTAGTACAAATAAAACGACAAATTGTTGATCACTAGGTAAAAAATATATGTAATATCACATCACATTATGGTATATACACAATCGAAATCGCATCACTAAAACAAGATCACAAAAAACACCAAATACAAACAGACGATAGAGATAAAGAATTCTCGAAAGTTTTTACAGACCAAATAAAAAATATACACCAACAAAACTCACAAAGATCAAATTCAATATTCACAAGCGATGTTTACTCAATTATTTATAGCTATCTATCCATACTAGATTTGGAAGAAACACTAGGTGACTCACCAACTTTCTGTTCCAACAATTTTCGAAAAATGTCTGTGCTCGGGAAAGTTTCTTTTTCTCCAGGCAAAACTTGATTTTTTTGATTTTTCTATACGAAGCTATCTTGAGCTCAAGTTTAAAAAGATGCATTAGCTGCGATCATTTTTCATCGAGTTAAAAGAGTTCAAAAATTGTCGTTTTGGTCAGTTTGGTACACTTTATATATTTCGTGCTATTGAAGCGTGAGCGGAGATTTAACCTGTCCTAGAAATAAGTCCAAAATGAATTGAGTCGGGCTATTTAGTCTATTTCAAACTGCGCTATTAGCTCAATGTATCACTTTGTACTTAAATAGCGTGTGGCGGTTGAAATTTCAATAAGAAATCAAAAAAAAAGTTTCGTAAAAAAAACTTTTAATTTAATACCCATTTTCTGAGAGCAAACACCCCTCTTTAACTTTCAGATCAGATTTCGCTAGGTTTGTGTAGACAAGATTTCCCAAATTATCTGGACCTGTTGCTTTATTGATGTCTAGTTCGATCATTATTTTCTCAATGCAGTCTTTATTCAGCTCGGTTTCGGTTGTATTTTGCTTTTTCCAAGATACTTAATTCGGTTATTTGTTCCGCTTTTGTAAATACACTACAGAAGAATTGATTAAACGCATCGCGTTTTTCTTTGTCTGTCTCAAGTTCTTTGCCGTCAAGTTTCATTATCGAAGGTAGTCTAGGTGCTCTTCTTATGCTTCGCAAATATTTCTGAATTGTACTAAACTTTCTTGGTGCAAAAATCTCGAATTCGTACTTTTTCAGATCTTCACCAGCAGAAATTTTTATTTTTTCTTCTAAGTTTGTAGTTTTAGATAGAATTTCTGGTTTCGGATAGGATTGCTGTTTCCGAAGTAAAGTTTTTTGCTCTTAATAAGGTGGGAGGTTGGGGGTGTAATCCAAGGGGGGAGTGTGGCTCTATGTTCTGTTATTCTAGGTATATTTTCTTTCAGAATTCACCAAAGCCAGGTGTACCATTGATCAAGTAAAAAATCGAACTACTAAAGCAGAACTGTGTGAAGGGATTATTGATTATTGTAGTGTTGATTGCTTTGTCATCACTTCTTGTTTGAAGTAGCCTTGGGTTCAGATTGATTTCTGTTGGTAAAGCATTGTGATCACTGAGGTTCTTATTTTCTATTGAATACAATTTATTAACATTTTCATGAATGAACGAGTTAATGATTAGGGAGGGGTTGTTGATTTAGCAGTATCTGGCAATCGGATCTTTCAGGACTTTTTCCAGATACCAGTAGTCTTATTTCAGCTTACGTTTATCTATTTGCGTTTTATCCGAAGTCGAAAAGACTGCTCGTATGAGGGTGAATCCCTGAAAACCTTCACTGACTTTAACTTGTATAGAAGTGGTTTCAGTTTAAAAAACTGAATAAAATATACAAAATACTTTTCCTATATGTCCTTGAAAAAAACATCCCTAAACGCTATTTAAAATACAAAAGGTTATTTTAAGCTCAAGGCAACTGAACAATTAGACTAAATAACCTGCCTCAATTCAATTGCATAGGCTTGTAATCCGATCTTCTTTTGCCTCCTATGTGTTAAAAAACGACATATCACGCGCGTTAACAATCCCTCGTAGTAAAAAAAAGATCAAACCTAAAATACCTTTTTCAGTTTGAGCTGAGATCATCATCACATTTTAAATGATTTTAAAAACATCCGCTAAAGTGGTTAGTTAGAAATTCGATTTTTGTCTGGATAAAAATTATCACGAGCAATTTATTCGGTCATTTTTTAAAACCCCAGAAGCAACATGCAAGAAGTTTCTCAAATTACAGATTTTAATTTGAGAAAATCTGGTATGGTTGGGTGACAATAATCTTATAATTTAACGGCATTTGCAAAAAGTTATAAAAATAATTTTCACAAAAACACATAATTAACTTTAACTTTGGATAAAGTAAGGAAAAATTCACCTTCAACAAATCAGTTGAAAACTCGTCTGTTTTCTTGACAGAATGAACAAAACCTTAAAAGATTCCGCCATAAAAATTAAATGTGTCGTCATACAAGCTATCCATGGCTAGTGATTTTTTTGTTCGATTGCGATAAAAACTGAGTCTTGACTATACAATTAACAAAAATTCTCCAAAGTTTTTCTCAAAAAATGTTCTAAATGAGCAAAAAATTGACTTTTAAACTAAAAAGAAGAGCAAATAAATCAAATAAAAATTAAATATTGAAAATACTTTGAAAATTTCAGTAAAACTATTTTTGGCCTTCGAATTATGGATACCTTAAATCTTAAACTTTGGAAACTTTATGAGTACCAAATGTACGCATCAGAATCGACCGTCTCAGCACCCCAACTGAGTTGGCAGTCCTTCGCATCAAACCAAGACACTAGCACAGGTGATGAGGTGCTAAGAGTGCCCGCTCTGCTCA